TGGAACAAGCGCTGGCTAAGCCAGGCTCTGTATGTATGCTGGAACGAAGGAGAGACTTGTATACTTTGGGTGCTGGACTCTTGAACTTGAGAAACTCTTGTATAACGTGATTTTTTATAATATAAGTTGCGCTACTCGGTTCTTCTCTCATCTCAACTTTGAGCTTTGTGTGAAGCTATCCTATCTGTGTTTGGTGACATGTGTGCATGCGAATGAGACACTCCAACAAGTGTGAATCGTCGGGCCCCTTGCATCAGCATCTGCAGTGGACCCTATCGCACGTCAGCAGCGTAAAAAAGTGTCGCATCAACAATCAATCAACAAGGTCTTCAGACGCGGCACAACATATGCCACGCGAGCAGAAAATCGCGATGCCATGTCACTATCGCGATCCAGGCTGGCGTGCGGTATCTCTTGGTCGCGGTCCCTACTGCCACGTCAGCAGCCTCGTTGGGATCTCCTCTCGCCAGTGAAACAACCCCGGTGGTGTCTTCTCGTCAGTGAAGTCTGTGCCACGTCAGCACCCCCGGCGTATCTCTTGCCACGTCATCACCTACTCAACACACGTGTGCACCACACTTACCTGTGCGCCACCTGGCGCGTGCACACGTATACAATAGTCATCGTCAGGAGAACTGCTCCGATACCAAATTGCAATGAACCCAGATCGTGAAGACACTTGTCAACAATGCAAGCCCCAGATGAAAACTGCTGATGATTACCAATAATCAGAACCGTGTCCAGATAGAATGAGATGGGATAATCATACACAGACGAAGGAGAGAGGAGGGAGATTAGACAAAGGAGAGGAAATAAATGCAAGGCCACTCCGGCTCCCTCCTCGATCACCACCTCAATAATCAATAGTCTGAACGAGTATCTGAAGTAACCTCAATGTGCCACATGACACGTCTAATTAGTCCCTCATCAGCGCTGGAGCAGTGTCAACATGAAGACAATCAGGTAAGTATCCACGATCTCTCTCCACAGTCCTGATCTCCTCCCGAGTGATGATGAATAAGAACAGCAGTGTCGTCACGTGGCCTAGCCACGTCAGCAGATATGACAGGTGGCAGTGGCCACACTAGCAGCAACGTGTGGCAGCTGCCACGTCAGCATGCCAAGAAAGGTGCAAGCCAGCCACCATGCCGGACCAGCAGCGCGTCGCCGTAGACACAATGCCGGCACAAAGCCAGCACTCAACCAGCATCACAACGTTGAGCCAGAGTCGTCGTCAACGCGTGAAGTCAGCATCGACGTAAGACTGAATGAATGTCAAAGCCAGGAAAGTCAGCGCTTATGTAGCGTTGACTCGGGGTCTGGACCCCGGATGCTACCACCCTCAGCCGTCCAGATCTTGATGCAAAGTAAGGCCCAGATTGGTCTGAAACCGACTTCCCTCCGGCCTGGATGCTTGTCTGGGTACCTGCGCACAACAAGTGAGTGTATCCAACCAAGGGCCTGGGTGCGGTACCTTTGACTCTACAGTTGACTTTGACCTTTGAAATTACTGTGTGCAGCGTTTGGTCACACAGCCAAACGTGACAGACTCAGGCCTGGGCGTGTCTTGGTCACACAGCCCAGCGCAGACCAACTCAGGTCTGCGTTGCCTGGGGCTGAGTTCTGGGCCCCAGGCTACTTCTGAACAGGGTTACTGCACTTATTCTTCTTTTGTTATGTTCTTTCTTCCTTTTTCTCTTTCTTCTTCGTAGTCGTCATCGTCATCATCGTCTCATCGTCTTTCTTTCTGCTGCTGGTGCTCCTGCTGCTGTCACTGCTGCTGCATCTCTCCTTGTCCTTCTCTTTCTCTGTTTTTTTTTTCATGTTTTTTTTTTCGCCCTTTTGGAGGTTCCAAATTGCAATATTTGATTTGTCGAATAACGTCATACTTAAAAGTATCAATTTCTCATTCTGTTTATTTGGTGTAACTGTAAAATTGTAAATTGTAAATAGTAAATAGCATACATGCGGCGCATCGCGATGCGCTGTACTTCGCACGTGCGCCGCACAGCGCATCCCGCACGACGCGCGCGCACTGCATGTGGCGCACCTCCAAAAATGGGGGTCGGAAAAAAAAAAACAAAGTTGCGAGGGGCGGTAGTAGACCCGGCCCCCTGCTCGCGTAAAATAAGAAACGGGCAGCCAAATTTTTTTTGGAGGCCGCGCGTTGGCCTGAAAGCTTGTAGTAACCTGTAGTCCACGTAGCACTCTGTGTGTACGGTAGGGTTCTTGCAGTCTGTAGGGTAGGTTCTTGCAGGCCAGATTCAGTCATGATGAGGGTCGCGATCTCTCAAAACGTTCTCTTCTTATTACTTCTGAAGTAGAAAACAACGGAACTGACAGCGAGTCCAACCTGTCAGAACCTCAACGGTAGTGTTCACCAATGGGCTTGCTGCACTACTCTCGACATGCACACAAGACACACACGGAGGATTCAATCGGAAACTCTCTTCTTATGGCAATGTATCTTTCCATGTTCAAGCGGAGGATTCAATCTCATTTGTTCAGAGATTCTCCAAAAAAAAAAAAAGACAGGTTCCAGAGATACGTTACGTGCTTACCTGATTCAACAGCCCTACGCTCAACGTATGAGCAAAATGAGAATGAATCTTCCGCCAGAACATAGAGAGATACAACGCCATATTTTTTGTCCTTTGTGCATGTCGCCCCGCTTCCGCATTCATGTTGGCCGTTGATAAGGGCTGTTTCTTTGGTCCGATAGTGTCAGCACACGGTTCAGAGATTCTCCGAAAAAAAAAAAAAAAAGGTTCCAGAGATACGTTACGTGCTTACCTGATTCAACGGCCCTACGCTCTCCACCACCCAACGTATGAGCAAATGGGAATGAATCTTCTGCCAGAACATGGAAAGATACACCGCCATATTTTTTGTCCTTTGTGCATGTCGCCCTGGGGCCAGGTCCCACTAGCAGCGTTGAGTTTCCTCAACGCCTGAATCTGGACGTGTCTGTGGATATGTGCAGAAATCGCGTTGAGTTTTCTCAACTGCACATCTCGACGAACGCGTCCAGATTCAGGCGTTGAGGAAACTCAACGCTGCTAGTGGGACCTGGCCCCCGCTTCCCGATTCATGTTGGCCGTTGATAAGGGCGGTTTCTTCGGTCCGATAGTGTCTGCACACGGTTTCTTCACTCTCTCTCTCTCTCTCTCTCTCTCTCTCTCTCTCTCTCTCTCTCTCTGGGGTTCCCCGTAATACTGT